CCTCGTCTTCTCAACTAGCCGATATTTTCACTAAACCCCTTAGTGGAACTGCACACTCTGTTTTGATATGCAAGTTGGGTTTGTTATCGCAACCTCCAGCTTGAGGGGGGATGTTGAAGTTTGTTAGTCGGTTAGCTGATTGTTACTGTTTATTTCATTTTCCCTGTATAAATAGTGAGGTTCCGTATTATTTTTCATTCATTCAGAAATAACATCATCTTCTTCCCCTTCTCTCTAGGTTCACGACTCCCTATTTTTTCATTCCTTCAACATCAATAATCACTTCTAAATCCTACTTCACTTAAACACATTTATTGTTCTTAGATGTCAAAAAAACATATCTTTACGATAATTGATTATTACATACGTAATATATATAGTCATGATTAAGTTTACATTTGGTACATGAGACTTAACTGGATAGGACATGACAGAACAAAACCTGTTGTTCCACTTTAACCCAGGACAAAAACTTACAATTACACATTTGACACAACATAGAACAAGGTGAAACAAAATAGGGAAAAAGATGAAATATGACTAAAAAAAGTATCAATCTACCCTCATTTGATATAACCATGATTCTATGGTATTTGGTTCAAGGGTCACCACCACCCGTCGCCACCGACCACCTCCACCACCAGGGCCATCCCTGGGGGAGGGCGGTACGGGCGCACGACCAAGGCCCAAAAATATCAGGGGCCCAAATTTTCCCCTTAAAATATATAGTAGTCTAAAAGAATTTAGTAACTTAAAGAAACCAAAAAATTGTAGCATATAATAAGAGACAAATAATTTAGTAGATAATAAGGGCCCAAAAATATATCAACTAATTACATTGGAAAAGAAAATATAAAAAAAATTGGTCATTCATTATATGCTATTGTTTATTGCCCCTCTAATTTCTTTTTATCTCCAACAAGGTCCAATAATATTGGCTATTGCTATCTCTATATGCTTGACTATTTTCGTGCTTCAACAATTCAACGTTAAGATCATGTGCTTGTTATTACTATATATTTTTATTAGATATTTTTATCAATTTCTATTTATTGACTATTGCTATTTGGTTATGTTGTTCTAATTGTTTTTGTTGACTATTGTTATCTATTTTTGCTTCTACATAAAATATTTTACTTTTTTTACAATTAATCTATTGTTCTTATGATTTATGACGTGTTTCATGGTTTTGTGATTAATCAATAAATTTTTTCTACTAGATGTATTTAGTAATGTYTCTTATATATGTCATGTTCCATAAACTTTTAATATTAACATCTTATTTTATGAAGAAAAATAGAATTTAAATGTTTTCATCAATTGTTTGACTTATGTATCTTTCATTGAGATTCCACCACACCACAAGATTCTATTTAAGTGCTCAAACAATCATTTGTTGAGCTTGCATATTATATGTTTAATTTATTATTTATTTTTACTAGATCTCAATGGATCATCTTTTCTTTCATATTCTTATTGATTTCGTTTGTCTACTTGTCTAGAAAACCTTGATAATCTTTTTTATTATTGATCTCTCATTGACCTCACGATTATTTCATTAACACGAAATCTCTTTTTGTATCAAAAGAACACATATTTCTTGTTATAAAGTAAAAATTTCTTACTTTTTATAAAAATTTATCAACCATATACAGTTTCTATACTCTAGGTTTAAAATTACATAATAAGAAGTACGTAAATTTAAGTACTCTCTTATATATCTATAATAAAGATAAATAAGATTTCTTTACTCAGTTAATTATTAGCATTTCTTGTACTCAATTTTATACTAATGAAAAACATTTATTACCGAAGGTCACTACAAAAAAAGTGAGCTTTGACGATGCGTCTTTTAGCGATGACATGTGTCACAATTTATAGCGATGACATGTTGTTATATACAATATCTAATGATAAACGGACTTTTAGCGACAACAAAAGTCGTTGCTAAAAGCCTTGTTTCTTGCAGTGGGGACCTTGTTTTTATGTTCGCCTAGGGACTAAAAAAATATCAGAAACAGGCCTGTCCACCACTACCACCTCCCGCCAGCACCTCCTCTACAGCTACCACCTCCACCTTTATATCTACCATTGTCCATCTCCTCCACAACCACTAGCCACCACCGTCACTTGCCATCACTACCACCACCAAATACTTACCATTGTTCGTCTAGAACAAGAAAAACTTGAGCATGGATTTTAAAAAGTTTTGCCCACGATGTATAATGACCTTTTCGATCTCAATTCGAAATGAAGGACTTGATGTGAGGTGAAACGTGGACGAATGGATTTGCCCGATGTTGAAGGTGTTTGGGTCGCGTGGTGTCAGAAGAAGTTAAGTCGTAAACGACCACAGAGGGGCTGAATTTGGGTCGTGAGGGCGGTGGGGTATAGAGAAGAAAAGAGAAAAAGTAAACTTCTACAGCTCTGATACCATAAAAGTGTTTTGCTGTTTCCCTTTCATTCATTTGAATACCATATAAATACACAAAAGGAGTAAACGGTGTATCCTACTATTTGGCTAACAAACTCTCTAATCATTATCACTGTATAGGACAGAACAAAACAGAGATAGGATCATCGTTCCATGTTTGACAGAAGTGGAACAACTCCCACCCAATGGAACAAGGTGGAACAAACATATATTTTGTTAATATAACCTCAAAATAAAACTTAATTCTGATCTAAAGCATCAAATACACCTCCATGCTTACATTTTATTTATTGTATTTTATGTTTTTTAAAATTTTATTTTATTGGACTCATAATATTATTTTTATGTTTTGGTTAATTTATGTAATTTATTAAATATTAATAATGGTAAAATAATTTAGAAAATATATAAAATAAAAATTGGAAGCTACATAATTTTTTTTATTTTGATGTCATTTTAATTGTCTTGATGAAAATTTTCTAATGATATATTTTTCATAAAAATATTTATTTTATTACTTCCCTTGTTCCAAATTAAGTGTTCACATTTTCATTTTAGTTTGTTCCAAATTAAATGTTCACTTTCAATAGTAGATTTTCATTTTCGATTCTATCATTAATTATAAGATAGAGAAAGTTTATCCCTCTATTATTACGAGTAAAAGTGTCATTGATTATTTCAAAAGTGTAGTAATTACACATTTTTAAAACTGTGGACATCTATTTGAAAAAGATGGAATATAATTACATAAATTAATCAAAATATAAAAAAAATACAAACAACTCATTAGATATAAATTGGTCATTTTATATATTATGTTCATTCTAATTCTATAATATATTACCAAACACTGAACATTTGTTATGTCCTACCTGTTTGGATATCAAATGCATCCACAATGAACTCCTTAATCATAATCACATGAGGCTAATCTAATATCAGAGCCGGTCTTAAGATTTTTGATGCCCTGTGCGAAAATAATAAAAAATGCCCCTAAGTCTATTTTTGTAAGTCAATAAAACAATGAAATATGCGATTTTTTAAAGAGTTTATAACCTATTCAAACTAAGTATCTCATCATGATGTTGATTTTTATTAACTATAATTAAAAAAAATACAATGGAGGGGACATAAAAACCAAAACCCTGAATACAAAATATAAAATGATAAATCCTGGATTAAGATCATGTTTTCTTCTTTTCCGGTTTTCCCTTTTCCAAATTGAAATTAACAAAATAAAAACTTTATTTCAATATATATAACTTAAAAGACAAGGAAAACTATAATTAGTTTTTAAATAAAATAGTAAATTAGATCCAAATTGTTGTCATAGTAAGCAAAAAGTAAAACTTAAAAGTTACAGGTCTGACGACTAAAGGCTAAACGCTAATCTGTTAGTAGCTTAATAAGTTTAATGGAACTAACAACTTATTCACTCAACTCTCAACTATGCATGACTGTTTCGTAATGACTTAATGATATAGAAAGTGACTTATCTAGTAAACTTCTAGGGGGAACTTTATAGAAAACAAATTTTTTTGCCAAACATGTTCCTTTCAACTAAAAAAACGCTCTTTATATATATATTAGAAGGATACTCGTACAATGCAGCGAGATAAATCTCGATTTTAATGTTTAGTTTTTATCTTTTGTCTCTATCGATATAATATAATTTTATGTGGTTTTGAGAAAATGGTAATATGTTTTTATTTTTGAATTAAAATATCATTTTGACAATAACAAAAAAATTTATAAAAAAATAAATTAATAATAGTATCAAATTAACTATTTAATAATTTTATTGTTTTTGTGTAACTTCTTTCATTTAATTTTTTTTAATTATAATTTAATTTAAATTTAATAACAAAGTAATTTATTTTTATTTTAATAATATAATTTTTTTTATAAATATAATAATTAAACATTCTGTAAAAACTCAATAATTATTTTAATTATATTTTAGATTTTCTATATTTAAAATGAATGTTTATCTTGTATTTGATTATGTTAATTACACGAATTTAAAAATGAAACTTTAATAAGTTATATTTACGCAAAATAATTTGTAATCTTAAATTTTAAGTAATATACATCAATACACAATATTTCATACATAAAAAAAATGGTTTTTAAAAGTTTATAATATATGTTTACACATTTCAAGAAAACAACCATCATACCCTTTTTGAGCTCCTTGGGTAAGATTCTCTAAAACGATGAAACACAAATCGAAAATAAGATTCATCATGTGTTACTCACCTCCGTTGAGCCTTTCTTTGGAGAATAACATTTTTTTAAATCGATTACTATTTTGAGACATTTTTTTTTTGTAAGACACAGAGGCGTCCGTCAGAAAAGAAAATCATTCTATCAAATAAAAGTTGTGGGGAGGTTATTCTCCTAAATGACTCTAACCCACAGAGTGTAGCATCAATGTATGTAACATCAAGTCCTTTGAATAAAAACTTATTTAAAAACCACTATGACCTACCCCTAGTTTAAAACAATGCCTTGGCTGACAACATATCTGCTATCGTAAAAACTTAAAACAATACACTGTAGGTCATTTTGCAAAACATGCATCTGGACAAGTCACTGAACTAAATAGCCATGCAAGCAACTTCACACAAGGCCTTTTTTCATAAAAAAAGATTTAATAAGCTACAAATTCAAGCCTTTAGGATTTCTCACATGCCAAAAATGTTCTTTCAAATACCGGTTTTCCTAAAGCAAAGCAAACCAACTACGGAAGAACAGCCATGACATCAGATGCTCGTAAAGCAATGTAATCCGAACCATCGCTCCCTTTGAAATCATTCCCAGCATACTTCGAGAAAAGAACCGTGTTTCCAGCACACACCGTCAACTCTTTTCTATGTCCTTCCTCGTCCAGAGGCCCCGGCCCCACTGCAATCACCTGCAATCTCATCACAGTAATCTATTTTTCTAGAGTTTATCCATTTTTATGGTCAAAAGGGAAAAGTGGTTGCCTACTGGCAATACAAGATGCAAATTTGAATCCCTTTGGCTTTTTATTATATTTTTTTTGGTAACAGCATAAAGAAGGGGGAAAATAACCACTTGTATGTCATTTTAACTAAACCATACTTCTCTTATTAATTTTTGTTTTCTGGATCCAAACATGGTGAAACAAGATTCAAATAACCTCATGCACAGACCCCGCAAGAAATTTGCAACTACATGTGTGCAACAAAGTTTGGAATTTACCGTGCCAATGGAGGGTTTCTCCTTGGTTGTCTGTGTCAGCAACAAGCCACCAGCAGTAGTTTGCTCAGCCTCCACGACCTATTTACAAAATTCAAACATTCGAGCTTAAGAACACCAATTATATAATCCATGTTATATGGATGCTAAAAGACAAGTTCCATATGATGGTGTGAAACCTCGCAATCAGTTTGGGATAAATGGATTAAATAGAAGTAGAAATGAAATATTATCATGTATGCTGGTTATACTTTCTGATGCAAAGATAGGTCAGAATCAATATATACAAACATGTCTAGTCAAAGTGGTTTGGGTTTGATGATGACACGACAGATCAGTTTTCAAGTCTTTCATTCATATAATTTACCTCAATTACTCAGCCCAAAACACAACAGGAGTAGCATAATAGTCAGTTAGGGGAAGGTTCAAATGAGACCCATGAATATTTTGAGAACCTCGAAACCAACTATTCATGATGAATATCATTATAGATATTTATGACGAAAATTATCATAATGAAAAGTGAAAACCAATGATTATATAGAGTTATTCATCATAAACAATACATGAAATAGTTGGTTTCCAGGTTCTCAACATATGTATGGTTCTCATTTGAATTTTCCCCTAGTCAGTTAAGGTATCAAATTTTTATTTACCAAGTTCAACTTTCCTAGCTATGAGAAATGTGGAGAAACAGATAACAAAGTTCAAGAAGATTGCAAACCTTGATTAAAACTCTGTCGTTAAGGGGCTTCAAATCCTTTACATCATCTGTCTCAAGAATACCAACAATATCATCTTCCTTCAATAAGAGATGGTTTGACCCATTAAACTCAACCTCCGTCCCAGCATACTTCGAATATACAACTGGTGTACCAGTCTGAAATATGAATGGTGGCTTTAAGCATATCGGATCAAATTACTATATATATATATATATATACACACATATGTATATAGTGCTTCAAAATGCACAAGAATTACCTTCACGCCTATGTCCACCTTCTTCTGCCCAATTGTCCTGCCATCTCCAACGGCAACAACCTCACCCCCTTGAGGCTTTGATTGTGCTGTTGATGGCAGTAATATACCACCTGTAGTCTTTTCCTCTGCAGCCTTAATTTTTACCAACACCCTATCACCCAACGGCTTCAAAGTAGTGTACTGCAACACAAAATAAAGATCAACAGGATGAAAGACCAGTTGAACACATGAAAATGTTGGTGATGTAATGTTGAGCAGTAAATGACAGTTCTATAAGGACGTACAAAGGCAGAATGGCGAAATCACTTTGTTGTAACTATTTCCCAAATTAGTTGGTGAGTTAGTAACTGACAGTTAGACTTTCTGGTTTGTACAAAAAAGAGTTAGCATTGATTAATTAACCAAAATACAATGACTATTTATGTACAAACTAAAAAGTCTAGCTATCGACAACTAATTTGGGAAATAGTTAAAAGTTATTTTTACCATTCTGTACGCCCCTTATACAACTGTCATTCACCAACATAAAATAAGAACATTAACTCCATGATGGATCACAGAATACTTAATAGTGCAACTTTAGCAGGCCGGGGAAAGTGGAAGAAACAGGGCGTATTCAATCTTATGGAACGAAACTATAACAAGTAGAGAACATGGATCTAACACAAGCGAAAAATCATGTAGATGTATCAAAAGAAACAAGATGACCAAATCTAAAACCTAACAAAGAACAAAAATCTTGATGCAAATAGCAAATCTGAGAAGCTCACAAAAACCTCACAGTTAATACAAATCTACCATCAAGAAGATTTGAATGTGTGAATTGAAGATGACTGATATCTCTGCCAGCTGAAACTTGAAAGAAAATTTATACAGCTTCACTGTTCCCTGGGATTGGCTTTGGGACGGGTTAGTGTGAGCCTATCCATGCGCTTGATTATTAGTTACTGAGGGGTTAGAAATATATCTTCGCTTGAAATCAATAACTCACCAGTAGAAACAAAAATGTAACACCTTGATAGAAAACTGAAAGAACACAAGGCTCAGTTGAGAATAAAGAGACAACCAAACCCCTGTGATTGAATAAAAGTGAATACTGATGTAATTTTAAACTGCTATGGCTGCCATATCAATAGAATTTCCTTGAAAACCAATGCAAAATGGAAGCAACTTGTAAGCATTAATTTGTAGGGTTCAACAATGGTAGTTTAGTGGTACAGACCTTAGGAGCAACAGTAGCCGCAGCTTTGACAACGAGGCCACGGGTTGAGCCGAGAGTCAAACCACCACCCATTCTAAAGGACACGGAGGAAGCCTTGAGTGTTGATGGTCTAAGACCTTCAAAAGATGGCAGAAAAACGCTTGAAGATGCAGCGGTGGTCATCTGAGCAGCTGCCATTTCCTAAATTCAACCCCACATATCAGTTTACCAAAATTTACTCCATTTGTTTCAAATTCGCTTTGAATCTTTTGAAATGAAACCCAGAGTATTGATTTGAAGTAGTAATCAAAGTGCATTGGCAAAGAATCACAAGATTAAAATGATAACTGAAGTCAAGAATGAAGCAATTACCGGATGGAGATTGGAGAGATTATGTTGGTAGGTAGCGCAATGGAGATGAAGAGGATAACAAAACCCTAGAGGGATGAAGGCAGGTTGCTTATCAATGCAAATAAAAGACGCTTCCAGAAGTTTTTAAATTCATGCTAAATTTCACGTTGTTATTTGGCAGAATATAATAGAGTTGAGCTTTAATTCGATTAAATATTTTCATTTAAATTAAGTCGACCCTTATAGATATATATATTTTGAGTCAAATACGTTAAATCATACCATCAAAATTTAAACTTTTTAAGTATACAATATTTATTAGAAGGATACTTGTATAATGCAACGAGATAAATCTTGATTTTAATATTTCATTTTATTATTTATCTCAATCGATGTTATAATATGATCATATATAATTTTGAAAAAACGATAATGTTTTTATTTTTATAATACGGTTTTTGAGTATTTCTTTAATTCATTTTTTATGGTTTAATAATATAATTTTTTTTATAAAGATAATAATCAATTATTTTGTTAGAATTCGATAATTATTTTAATTATATTTTAGATTTTTTATATTTCAAAATGAGATGTTTATCCTCTATTTGATTATGTTTATCCGCAGTTAGCTACACGAATTCAAACATAGAGCTTTAATAAGTTGTACTTATGCAGAATTTACTTGTAATATTGAATTTTAAGTAACATGCATCAATATACAATACTTCATGCATCAAAAATAATTTTTAAGAGTTTTTGTCAAATAGTTTATAATATAGTATAGATATATAGCAAATACAATAAATAAACTTACACACATTTTTCACATTTCTTGAGATTTAAACCCCTGACTTCCTAGGAGTTCAAGGCTATACAAACTTAATGAAAAACTTTAAACTTTATGAAGACTTATTGCTAATTTTAGAGTCTGAGTAATCTATCTTAAGTTTGATGTCAAAAACAGTTTTATAAAACCTAAATTTCATGTAATGTGTAACTTAACATTTTTAAATGGACATGAGTTTAAACTGAAAGATTGAAAAAATTATTACAACTCAATTGTTATTTTGAAAAGTTCTTATAGCTCGAGTGACTTTGAACTTGATATTAGGGATGACAAAAAAACCCCGAAATTAATGGTGAAAACCGAAAACCAAAACTTTTGGGTCGGGTTCGGGGACATCTTATCGAGGACGGGGAGGGGATCGGGGACAAATTCGGAGATTTTAACGGGGACGGGGGCGGTGATCACCGGCCCGGCCCGACCCGATATGTATGTATATATATATATATATATTAATTTTAATTTATATATATATATATATATATATATATATATATTGTTGGTCCCTTGAGGGTCTACAAGATATGTATAACCGTTTGTAGAAAGGGGGGTGAATACAAACACAATATTTTCAAATTTAAAATGTATATTGATAAGAAAAGATCAATACAAATTTTACAAGACTGTTTGCGGAAAGATAAGGTAAGAAAACCTATCTAAACAATCTTTGGACAAAATCTTAGCAAATAAGAAAAGATATGCTGTAAAGAAAAGTTCTTTTACTTAAGCTCAAGAATGCTCAGAGTAAGGATTAGGTTAAGAGAGTGTGTTGCACGCGCATTCTGCATGGAGACAAAACACTTTTATTTATACCCATTGCATTAAATGCACATTTCATGCAATATGGTAGGGTTAGAGTGCATGTCAATCTTTAAGGGAAAGGCTTGTCCTTTGCTATAGTGAATAGTACAAAAAGCCTATTCATGAGCAGACATCTTTACCTAAAGTTGGTGGGTAATAGAGTCAACTAGTCGGCTCCATATCGTACTAACATTTTAGAAAATGGTATAGGTTTGTCCTTTGTGTGTATAAGGACAAGACGACAACAATCGTGCATGGCAAGCTTCCTTTGATCGCTGAATGCTGGAATAACCTGGAGGTTTCTTCAACATTCGCTGAGGCTTGAGCAGTCTTCACACATGGTAGACAGACTTGTAATCACTGAGTACCGCTTCAGATCACGTACTCACCAGTCTCTAATCTTCAGTTTCAGTCTTCGACTTTGGCTGAAGGTTCTTTGATGTGAGTGTTGTCTTCTTGAAATATCGCTGTCTCTGATTGAATTACAATACAAGTTCTTCAACGATCACTGAACCTGTTCAGTGAAGATCGCTGGAACTGAAAAGACAGAAACATAAATACATTATATAAATGAAAAGGGAATATTATTAAATCACTAAGAGAAATGATCAACAATCTCCCCCTATTTGATGTTAACAAGACAACATAAAGAAAGTTGTCTTATCAAATAACAGAAAGGAAAAGTTACATATAAAGTACATGTCCCTTTTTACTATTTTAGGATCTTTTTCAGTGATTCAGTCTTTGCTTGAGAATTTTCCTTAAGTCATATTTAAGAGAAAATTATAAGGATGAAAACTGAAACTGAAAGCTTATTCACTGACTTATAGATTGTCAGTGAATGTAAAAAGTAACTCTGGAACTCATAGACTTGTGTCCCTATTACTTTTTTTCAGGGATCTTTTACAGTGAAGTACAAGAAATACTCATATTATTATCATTGGAAATATTACAAGTAGTTCAGTACATGTCTCATACTTACAGACTAGAAGAATAATCACTGAAAGTAGACATAGTAAATAGATTTACAAGGAAAAGTGAACAAAAAATTACAAAGAGAAACTAATCTAGAACACTTAGATCTATGCACCTAGGTACATCTTCATCAAGGTTCTTTCGACGTAGGCATTCCCTTCGTATCTTCAGGTCCACGACTTTTTAAGGCATGCTATCATCTATCCAGAGTAAGAGGTAAACCAAATGACCCATTGGACATAGATGTAGCTCTGACATTCTATGAAATCTGACTTCACCTTCATAGTCAAGGAATATAACTCCTAACTCAAGTATGAAATGCACAGAGTTGGGTGTATAGGGACCCTTGTCTGGCAAGTCGAGATTCAGCATAGAAATGTCTATACTCTCATGTTCCTTCAGGATTTCATCTAAGGAGAACCTTGTTTCATGTTCGTTCCTTAGGAATGGTCCATTATTAGGATTAGTGAGCTTTTTCTTCTTCTTCCCACCTTTCTTCAGAGAGGGCCTGTCAAGGACTGCGACATATCTGGACATCCTTTTGATGAGATCACTGATGATGTCTTTGATAATCGGCTTATGTCTTGACTTGGATCGCTGAATGGCTTGCCTGATCTCCAGCCATTTGCTGTATCCATAGCGGCTAAGGTAAGAAGGGTACTCGGTGATGGCATCGAGATTGTCCCTGGTGATGAGCATTGAGACTAGTTGTTGATCCCCTCTCTCAGTGATTTGATGATAATCCCTTTTGACTTATACGTTGTATTTATGTTTTTGTCTTTTCAGTTCCAGCGATCTTCACTGAGTATGTTCAGTGATCGCTAAAGAACTTGCATTGTAAATCTAACAGAGACAACAATACTTCAAGAAGACAACACTCACACCAAAGATCCTTCAGTAAACGTCGAAGACTGAAACTGAAGATTAGAGACTGACGAGTACGTGATCTGAAGCGGTATTCAGTGATTACAAGTCTATCTACATATGTGTGAAGACTGCTCAAGCTTCAGCGAATGATGATGAGACCTTCAGGTCATTCCAGCATT